ATTAGCTGCTTTCTTTGTATGCTAAACAGGTGGAATTGCTGGCCCCAAGTAGTTTAAATTATTTTTTTTTTAAATGAAACAATATGATATGGGCATAAAGATCAGAGACTAACCTTTCACAACATATCTGCGGGATCATCTCTCCTGACATGTTCCCAAAGGGCCTTACTCTCAGCAGAACAACATTTACTGGTAAACCCTGGCCCAAGAAACGGCCAGTTAGCCTCGACTAGAGCCAGAGCCTTTTCATCGGGGTGAAACATGCTCCAAAGTGAGATCAGGGCCCTGCGGGACGTATTACAACTCTGCAGGGCCTGAAAAACAGAGCTGTTCTGCCAGGCCTTTGGTTGAGGCAGCGGGTGCCTCATTACACTGGTCTCTGCTGCTCTAACCAGCCCTTTCCCAACCAGCCTGGGCTATTTGCCATAACAACCTGTACCATAGGCTGGGGGCTGGGCCAATTATTAATACAGTGGCCCTTTCTGGAGCGATATACACTTATATCCCCGAGGTCTGCTGTATTAGCTTCTCGCCACCCATCATGTAGATTAGCTGGGGCTTAGATTTTAAGTAAAATTATATGGGAGGGTGGGATAAAAATCTCAAAACTAAATAAATATTTTCTAATAGTCTCACTCAAAAACAAATATAACAGCCTCACAAGGCATACTTACAGCTGCCCCGGCCAGTGTCACTCAACATATACAACATTGCAGCAATGTTAAATGATTCTCACAGGCACATACATGCCGCCACAAATATTTATGATGATGTGGTGGAAAGTGCTGTCAAGTCACAGCTAACTTGCGGTGACCCCATGAGTTTTCAAGACAAGAGATGCACAGAGGTGGTTTGCCATGCGTCATGACCCTGGTATTCCTTGGAGGTCTCCCATCCAAATACTAGCCAGGGCAGTCCCTGCTTAGCTTCTGAGATCTAACAAGATCAGGCTAAGCTGGGCTATCCGGGTCAGGGGACTAATACTTATGACTGATGTTTAAAGGCTAAATGCCACCAAGTCAAAGGTCTATCTTATTTATTCTAAAACTTGCCTTCAGTTTCTTCATCCATCTCTCTTGCAGTGTATCCTTCAAATACATCAGTAAGCATTTCACTGACACCATCCACAACAGTTTTGCTGAAATCAAATACAAGCTGGAAGAAGTTTTGGACTCCCCATTCGTTTGGGGAGCCAGTATTTCTCATCGAATCCTCAGTGAAAGTTGGTAAAAAATAGGGGTCTGTTGTGTCTGGATCAGACATAAAATACATTTGAAAGGACTGGTCAAATTGTTTTTGCATCTGTTTGAAAAAAATAAAGCTTTTTTCAAACATTGTACCCACATCAGACAAGAGTTGGTTAAACAAATCGTCCATTTGTACTAGTTGGTCATCTTCTTTTTCAGTCTTCTGATTAAACTGGAGCTCTTTCCCCTCAGTTTCATACATAGAAACTGATACTGGGGTCATCTTTCTGAAAAAATCTCGAATCTGAAGGCAGGAAGCAAAAAACATTAACAGTAAGTTCTTTAATCATCATCCTAATTCAAATGCACATTGCCAAGTTCAGACATACACTTCTGACTCTGTGTTATCAAATCTTGCCCTATTTTCTAAATACTGAAAAGTCATACACTAGTGAGGCAGCATTTCCAGGGAAACACTGATAGTCTTTGCCAAAAATGAAAAACAGAAACTGTACTATAGTCTTACACATTAGCCAGCAACCAGAAAATCAAGTCCATTGTTCTGATGATGAGTCTCATCACTGACAGTTCTGGCAAAATGAAATGTACTTCATAGAAGGGATCAGATCTCGATTTATGGATATGGTAGGTAAGCTACATCGTAAAGGTAAAGGTTCCCTTGCTCGAAAGCCAGTCGAATCCGACTCTAGGGTTGTGGTGCTCATCTCCGTTTCAAAGCCGAAGAGCCAGCGCTGTCCGAAGACGTTTCCGTGGTCATGTGGCCGGCATGACACTGTTACCTTCCCACCGAAGTGGTACCTATTTATCTACTTGCAATTTCTTGCTTTCGACCTGCTAGGTTGGCAGGAGCTGGAACTAGAGACGGGAGCTCACTCTGTCATGCGGCACCCGGGTCTCGAACTGCTGAACTAATGACCTTCCACAGTCTGCAGTTCCGCGTCTTAACCACTTGAGCCACCGCAGCTCCAGCTTCATCTTACAGCCTTAAAAAGTTAAATTATCCAACCATGTGTGAAAAGAACCTGAGAACCAGTATCATTTCTATCATAATATTAATGTATTACGTACTTTTCTTGTATTGGGCCTTAACCAGACATAGTTTCGGGGCTGGAGCTGCTCCGGCATTTTCAGTTAATCTGGTCCACCGCCCTGTTTGTACATTCAGAGGAGAGGAATGGAATCCTACCCCCTGCGTGCCTGTAACTTCCCGATCTACACATTCAGCTGAAGGTTAGTATAAAGCTCTACTTATGTGCAGCTGTAACAATCACAAGCTTTATCCCTGCAATCTGAAAGCCTGCAAAGGGCAAAGCTCACAGTCACGTGTGCAGCTAGTTGTATGCCTGTATGGCTCTATGCACACCTTCAGGTGAAAGCATGGAGATCAGTGCCCTGTGGCAGACCCTATCGTCAGAGTCTTGTCCACTTCCCTTTCTCCCAGGAAAAGTAATATTTTGCATCAAGGTAAGTCAAATTCCTCTGCCCTGACTTGGATAGCCCAGGCAAGCCTGATCTCATCAGATCTCGGAAGCAAAGCAGGGCCAACCCTGGCAAGTACTTGGAAGGGCGACCTCCAATGAACACCAGGGCCAGGACACAGAGGCAGGTAAAATCAAGCCACCTCTCTGAAATGTCCTAGCCCCACTAAGGGTTGCCAGAAGCCACCATGGCTTCCAGGCTCACAAGCACACACACACATACACACAAAAGTACCCTCCCAAAAGATAAGTCAAATTCCTCATCATAACTATCCAAGCAAACTTACATATATCTCCGTTGGATTATAGACTGCACCTGCTCATGATAGGGAGCTGTGCTGGGCACTAAGGTATACAATGTTCCTAGGGTAGGATTGGAAGACACCTGATACAACGGCCTTGCTGAAGCTAGATAGGTCTGCCTGGGAAATTTTCTGAGGATCTCCAAGTATGCCATCAAGTATTCCATGATGTAAGAAAGGTGGGGTATGCGTTAAATAAAACTGCCAATGATGGGAAATCCTATTTGGCATCCAGTTATCCTATCCAGCATGGCCTGCACATTTTTTGCAGCCAAAACAGCGTGACAGCTATGATATCCAGAGTGCACAATTCTGCCCTTTTTCTGCATTTGCTCAGAATCATGGACTATATACAGCTCTGGCTATTAACAGGATGGAATCTTGTTGTTTTGTTTACAGCCCCGCCACCCATGCATGTGCCCACAAGGCAGCTCTGTTCATTAGACCATGGATTATTGGTAGTTCCCCTAATTAGGTCAGCAAGAATGACTGTTTCTGGCTCATGTTTTCTCTGTGGCTGTACCTTTGCTATGGAACAGGCTTCCTGAGGGCATGAGGAAGGGCCCGACCCTCCATAAGTTTCAGAGGCCCCGAAAAGCAAAGCTCTTTCATTGTGCCTTCAGTAGCACATGAGTCAAGGTTGCGGCTTGCTTCCTTTTATCTGTACTTCCTGCCAGTGTGATATATTACATTTATTTTTACTTATTTATTATTTGCTCAATTTTAGTCTGCCTTTCCCACTGAGACTCAAGGTGGATCACACAATTAAAACAATGCAGTAGGACCACTATAAAGCATGTAAGAGAAGAAGAAGAGAGAAGAGATTATACCCTGCCCTTCACTCGGAGTCTCAGAGTGGCTTACAAACTCCTTTCCCTTCCCCTCCCGGCAACAGACAACCTGTGAGGTAGGTGGGGCTGAGAGGGCTCTGACAGAAACTGCTGGCCCTATGGCTTTCCACACCGTAGGCAGGCCAGCAGGAGTGCCCTGTCCCACCTGTCCAGGTACACCCTGAGTCACTGACTGGCCAGGCAGCTTGCAGCTTGCTTATTTATTTGTCGATCTGTTTACAGTGTGCTTTTCTCACTAAAGGCATAGTGTAAGTCAAATATAATCAATAGGATGGAAAATCCAACAAACAGCGCAATAGGATTTGGACTACAGAAATTGGAAAACAAGCAGAAATCTAAAACAGAGCTGAAACAAACCTGAAACAAAGCATCAGTGTTTAAACATGACATGTTAACTGGTGCAGAAACTACATAACTGGAACATACTTACAGTGAGAGGCAGCAATACAGCAGTATAGGCCATAGGTCCTATCCCGTTACCAATGTAACTTTCTGAACCATTTCATTACAACACAGTCCTATTTACCTATGCAGAAAACCCTCTCTTGAATAATTACATTTTGCATAGTTTGAGGAAAGCCAATAGAGTGGGAGCCTTCCTAATCTCATCAGGCAGGCTATTCCGTCAGATGAGGGCCACAACAGGGAATGCACAAGGGCAGGCAGTTAGAGATTCTTGGCTATTTGTAGGGTGGCAGAAGGCCCAGCTGAGATGAGGAGAGATGTTGTGGCAGAGTATAGGGGAAGAGGTGGTCCTGCAGACATGAAGGACCAAAGCCATGAAGGGCTTTGTATGTGACAGTCAATACCTTGAATTGAGCCAGGTAACTGATGGGCAGCCACTAGAGTGACTGCCGAATGGGAGTGATAGGCATGTTCTACGTAGCTCTCAATAATATCCTAGCTGTAATGTTCTGTACTAACTGGAGTCTCCGAATTGACTTACAGAGGAGATCTATGCACAGGGCATTACAGTAATCCAGTCTCGATGTTATCATGGCAGGGATCCAGGTCCACAGAGCAGCTGAGTCAACTTACCGCCATTGCGGTGGGGAAAAGTATGGGGGTGCAGTCGGAACCTGGTGCCATGAATCCCCTGTGATGAACTCAGGAGCAGAGTCCTCAAATGATGACCAGGAGGATCCAGAGACCATTCTGAGGGAAGACCAGGAAGCTCAGGTGACACCTGACACCACTGGACCCCCTCCAGACCCAGAGCCTCTTCCAGAACTAGAGTCCCTGGATCCCAAGGCCTTAGTCGATGTACCTGGCCCTAAGCTTCAGGCAATGTTGCCAATATGCTGGAATCCAAGGTTGCCTGCCTCGTAGGGCCAGATCCTGGACTACCAGTTCCCTAAATTCTCCTCTCACCCAGCAAGAACAACAGAGATGCTGGACCCATGAATTTCGGGGGTTCCTAGAGTGTCACCCGGAAGTGGTGACACTTCCAGGTTCTGACACAATTCTTCACCTTTTTCTGCCACATTGGTGGGCAAGTGAGGGCAGAGCTGGGTGGCTGGCTGAACAGCCAGGGAGTTCCCTGAGCTGCCAACTGTGTGCACTTCCAGCCAGGGTGGTAGCACTGGAGTAGAGATGCCAGAACCCCTTGCAGTGGGGGCAGAGGTCCCCTGCTTTTGGGCCACTTCTCTGCCACCAGCCAGCTGGCTGGCAGGAAGGAATTACCCCCCCCCCCCAAAAAAAAAACCAGGGAAGAATGCCAGAAATTAATGTGACATGCCTACATGACCTGGAAGTAGAAGCTAATTCTACCATAGAGTTTTCCCCCAAAACCAGAGCATCACCCCCCCCAATGTCCCCAACATGCCCATGTCACTTCCGAGTCACATAGGCACATCATGTTATTTTCTCTGCTCCCAGTAAATTCACCCCGAATGCTCTGCCAGCTGGTTCAAGGGACCTGGCAATCCTACGCTAGAACCAGAGGCACACTGGTGTCCTCTGGCACCCTAGGCAATCATGGGCCACAACAATGAATAAATCTGGATTACGAAATTAGGGGGGGAAATGCAATAAAACTAGTAAATGACATTAAAAACTGTGAGGAATTTCAGACAGATGATATAATCCGCAAGAGGAACGGTTCCCAAACCGTTTCTTGTCTGTCATTTCAGACAGAACCCTTTTAGAACAGGTTCCCTACCGGAATATATTTGTAATTCCACACAGAAACGCTTCTGTCCCATTTGGGAAATGGGGCTGAAGCGTTTTACCTGTCAACCGCTTCCAAGTAGTCTTCAGTTTCCTCTCCCGGTTCTGATATGCTTTTTCCCGCCGTTTTTTTGCCCGCGCGGGTGATCTCCGGCTTTTTTTTTAATGTTCACTTTATAGCGCTATAGCGCTATAACGCTATAACGGTACAACACAACAGCATTATATCAACCCCATTGGAATGCCTGGAGTGTTGTGTTATAGCACTATAGCGCTATAGCGCTCTAAACTGAACGTTCCCCCCAAAAAAGGCGGAGATCGCCTGCGCGGGTGAAAAACGGCAGGGGGAAAGTGGTGCAGTCTGAAATGGCAAACCGCTTCAGATCTAGCTCTTTACTGGAAGGGGAAAGAGCCATGTGTGAAATGGCAGCCCTATACAGGTTTACTCCCCGACAGATCAAAAACAGCTTCAAAACAGGTTTAAAAGGGTAATGTGAAATTCCTCTGTGTTAGTACTATATTTCCTCACACTTCAGTTAACCAGCATCTCTGTGGAAGTCAAGTTTGTAAATTCATGGCTGGTAATTTGTCCACACTGAATTCTGTTGATCAGGAGAACAGTTGGTTATATTTTAAATGAATGGATGAATGAAATAATTTAATTTGTGTCTCACCTTACTTGTAAATGAGGACAGGCCACGTCGACAAGTTGTATAAAATCTCATACAGTTGCTTTCTAGACAAGATTCGCATTCATCCCATAAATGGTCCAGAGAGTCCTCACATATGTCTTCTTCTTCTTCCAGTCTCTCTTTCACTTCTCTCAAAAGTCTCAGAGCTTCCTAGTTAAGAAATTAGTTAAAACTTCTGAATCATGACTTACATCAGAGTCATTTCAGAATATACCTTCAAATTTTAAATATCTGCATCAGTTCAGTCATAAGTTTTCTCTCCACAGCAACGGTGTCCCATTTTTAGTGTACAATTCCAATGTGACTTCGGGTATGGAGTGGATGCATGAAATGTTTGTATGAGTAACCTTATTTTCTGCATTTAACTATTCAATGAGAACATTATTTCTGCTTACAGCTTCATATTTAACTACAGATTGGGTCTAGTAACACAAAATTATGGAGCAAGAGAAGAAAAGCGTAGCCAAGAGAAACGTTTTAGTCTTTCCACGCACACCCTTCCATTCCCATGGAACCAGCCACTCCAGGGAGAGCCGGTGCCTCAGCTGTACAACTCTCTGCTGTTAGGGTTTTCTTGCAGCAGGAGACAGTGCAGCTGCTGGTACAGATATTGTTTCGCATGTCTCACAGTTCCCCAGGTATGTAAGAACTACCTCCTGGCCTCTTCATAAGCCCATGTGGAGATTCTCCTGGTCCACATACAGAACGCCCTTTTAGAAGAGAATGATGCTTCTAATAGCAACCCTAAGAACATTTATTCAGAGGCACATGCAGGTATGTAGGCACCAGTCTCACAGTGGCTTGAATTGTGAACTGGCCCTGGTACAAATTTATATGTGGCCATAATGGTGACAGACCCAGACATTTGAACAAGTGACATGCCAACAACGTATTTGGCATGCCAGGTGCTTTATAAGCTTCCTATAGTGGATTACCTGATTATTTATTTATTTATTATTTCAGATTTCTATCCCGCCTTGCCTGCGCATGCAGGCTCAAGGCGACGTACATAGATTAAAATGCCATAAAATACAAATCCATAGATTAAATACATAGATTACAATGCATATACAATGCAATGCATATACAAGGCAATACATAGATTGCAAATACATAGATTATAAATTCCGGGAGCTCATTCCACCAGTATGGAGCCGCCACTGAGAAGACCCTGGCTCTGGTGATGGCCAGTCTGGCAGCTTTTGGGCCAGGGACAGTCAGGCAATTTTGGGTCCCCAACCTCAGTGCTCTCTGGGGGACATGTGGGGAAAGGCAGTCCCTCAGGTAGAATGGCCCCCAGCCATATAGGGTTTTAAAGGTCAAAACCAGCACCTTGAAGTGAATCCGGTATGCTATTGGCAGCCAGTGCAATGCCTTCAGCACAGGCGTGATGTGCTCTCATATAGAGAGACCCATCAGCAGCCTGGCTGCTGCATTTTTCACCAGCTGCAGTTTCCAGATTTGGGACAAGGGCAGCCCCATGTAGAGAGCATTGCAGTAGTCCAATCTCGAGGTGACCATTGCATGAATCACCGTTGCCAGGTCATTGTGCTTGAGGAATCAGCCATAGATGGTAAAAGGCTGCCTTGGCAGTGGCTGCTACCTGGGCCTCCATTGATAAGGTGGCATTCAGGATCACTCCCAAACTCCTGACCCTCAGTGCTGGCACCAATGGTGCCCCATCAAAGGTCGGGTGTGGGAACCCTACCCCCGACCCTGTCCGACTTAGGCACGGGACCTCCATCTTCATCAGATTCAATTTCAATCAGCTCAGCCAACCTGCCACATCCTGAAGTGCCCGATCAATGTCCTCTGGGGTAGAGTTGGACTGGCCGCCCAACAACAGGTATAGCTGGGTGTCATCTGCGTATTGGTGACACCCTAGCCCATGCCTCCGGGCAATCTGGGCAAGGGGGCGCATGTAGATGTTAAATAACATTGGGGATAGCATCGCCCCTTGAGGGACCCCGCAGGTCAGTGGGTGCCTCTGGGACATCTGCTTCCCTAGCGCCACCCTCTGTCCCCAACCTTGGAGAAAGGAAGCAAGCCATTGCAAGGTGAGCCCCTGAATTCCCATTTCCGCAAGGCGGTGGATCAGTAACTACTGGTTGACCATGTCAAACGCCGCCGACATGTCTAACAACAGCAGTACCACCATACCACCCCGATCCAGGTGCCTCTGGAGGTCATCTGTGAGGGCGACCAGTGCTGTCTTCGTCCCATGGCCCGGATGGAAGCCAGACTGGAAAGGGTCTAGCATGGAAGTGTCATCCATGAAGCTCTGCAACTGAATCGCCACCGCTCTCTCAAGTAATTTGCCCGAATAGGGCAGATTTGAGACCGGCCGATAGTTGGCCAATTCGGCCGGGTCCAGAGATGGTTTTTTCAAGAGAGGGTGGACCACCACTTCCTTGAGTGCCCCCAGGAACAGTCCCTCAGCAAGGGACTTGTTGATAATATCCCTGAGGGCACCTCAAAACCTTTCATGGTCAGCTTTTATAAGCCATGAAGGGCACGGATCAAGGCTGCATGTGGTTGGGCGTACTGTTGAGAGCAGTCTGTTGACTTCCTCAAGGCTGAGTGGACTGAAATAATCCAGAATGGGACCAGAAGACATGCATGGAGCCTTGAGTTCCCTCACTGTCACAACTGTGGCGGGGAGGTCGCAGTGGAGCGACAAGACTTTATCTGCAAAATAGCTCACAAAAGCCTCACAGCCAATATCTAATTTCCTAACATTTGGTCTGCCCTGTGGCAATTCTGTTAATGATCGAACAGTTCTAAACAATTGTGCATAGAACTCTCTCTTAGCGGCTTTGACTGCCATCTCATAGGATCTCATAAACGTCCTATAAGATGCTCTTGTTGCTTCATTGCAAGTGCGCTGCCAATGTCTCTCTAGTTGTCCGAGCCTTCGTTTCATCAGCCGCAGCTCCTAGGTAAACCAAGGAGCCCGCTTAGTATGAGGGTGCAGAGGGTGTCGGGGAGCAATCTCGTCGATGGCTGCCAAGAGTTGGCCATGCCAATCCTCAACTAGCTCATCCAGCAAGCCGCCAGGGGCATAGGTTCCCACAGGGCCATCTGAAGCCTCTGAGGGTCCATTTGGCTCCACGGGCGAGCTAAAATATGCTCACTGCCCAGACGGGGTCGGGGTGGGACATTCACCCAGGCCTTCAGAACATGGTGGTCCGACCATGGTACAGCTGTAGCCATAATTCTGTCCACTGTAACCCCCACTGCAAAGATCAGATCGAGCATGTGCCCTGCTCGGTGAGTGGGAGCCGTAACATATTGGGAGAGTCCCAGCGCCACCATGGACATCACCAGGTCCATTTCCTGCATGGAGGTTGCATCATCGGCATGGACATTGAACTCACACAGGACCAAAAATCTAGGGTGCTCCAGTGCCCAGCCTGATACGGCCTCCAGCAGGGATGGCAGGCTACTTGCCGGTGCGTTGGGCAGACGGTACACTAGCCAGATAGCCAAACTCTCCTTGGCTTCCCAAACTCTATGCCCGGATAACAACCAATATATAATCTATAAAGTCCTAACCAACTTGTGCTCATATATTTGTGAGACCCCCTCTACCTCTGTGTTCCATCACCGCTTCTAAGATCAAGAGTGATAATGCCCTCTTTAAGTTTACCCTCTATAGGCCAAGTTACAACTGCAAACTCCTCAGCAGCTGCTTCTTGACTTCCCACTGCGACTTACCAAAGGCCAAGAATAAATCCAATATTACAAGTTTCAATTTCCTTCATATAACTTTAATTGCCATTGGTTCCTCCAAAGAATCCTGGGAACTATATTTTGGTAAATTGTGAGTATTGTCTGTCAGAGATACCAAGCATCTTTTCCCACTTCACAGGAACAAGTCTAAGGATTCAATTTAAAGAGGAAATTACTGTTAAATTAGATTTGTCTGAAGCGCTGAAAGGTATGTCTCTCAGTGGAGACTGCTTGTGACTGGAAAGGATCATTGGTTCTTCAGAATGTGCTGAATAAAGTAGAAACAGAAGGAGCCTGGATCAGGCCAGTACAAATTCAGCTATACCCTCTCTAAGGCTAATGCTTTTTAAACAGCCCCAAACAATGGAAGTTTAGCTAAAAATAGGTCTCAATGAGTTCGTAGAATTGTTCCTACATTATGCATAAGATAGCAGTTAAGGATAATTTTCCTTCTTGGTAAATCTGACATAACAGTTATGTTAAAGTTAAACTTACATTTGATTAAAAATCTCTCTTTTCCATTTTCTAAATCACTCTAACAACAATTCAGAAGTAGCGTAATTTGTGAAAACACATTAGTGCATAAGGTAGTCAGCAGAACTGTAACTATATCATGTCCCTTTAATAGATGCTTAATGTATGGAAATTGGCAGCTGAAGCTCTTCAGTGGCGTGGAGGTAAATGAGATTACCTGATAAATAACATCCCATTAAGCATGTACTAAAGGGACAGGATATATTTCTCCAGACCTGTTGGCAACTATACTAGTGCCGCCCTGAAAACTGACATGGAATAAATTTCAGCCACACATTATTGAAAAAATAGAGCTACTGTTTACTATTTACCTCTTTTTCTCCACTGCTTTTCTTTAAGGCTTTCATCAGCTCCATGTGTTTAGCTTCATTTCTTTCCATCATAATTTTCATCTGTTTAACGCCAATCAGAGCTTTCTTTACCTCTTCATCTACATATTTCTCTCCAACTTCCGATAAAACTGAGGGAGAAAATGCAATATTTATGCCGAGGCCTAAATATTGAGTTATAATTAATGTATCAAGATAGATAAAGACTAAAATCTTTTGCATGCGTATAAACTGAGAATCTTCAGTAGAGTCTGCATTAAATCCATCTTTTCCACAGTCATATGTATTAAGGTATTTATTTTCTAATAATGTGATAGAATATAAAATATACTTCATATTTGCCAGCAGAATGTCCATGAAAATTTAGCATTTTTCACAGGGCAAAACACAGCAAATTTCCAGCATTTTAGCAAGGCCAAACAAATACACTTTGAAAAATGCCTGTTTATTCCCTTTTAATGGAAATGTAATCAGCATCAAGAAGAACAGCACAAGTAAGTGTCTAATATGTCATACATGAGAGCAAACTTGCCATTTCACAGCCCCCCCCCCCCCCCCCCCCCCAACCCGCTTCTCCTCACATATCATTATTTTTGATTTCCTCAGTGTGGTTTACTACACATTCAGATCTTAATTACATTTTTCCCTCTCACATTTTTACACCTCTCACATTTTGACCTTTATGAGTGGATGCTACAAAAATCAGGCTGACATTCTGATCATATTTTTAAAATTTTATTTACGTTATTGATATTCCATCTTTCTCACAGGGACTCAAGACAGATTTTCAGTTGGTGGTCTGCTGTAACCAAACCATTTTGCCACTGAAGTTTCCCATGGTATTGTTGTACCACAAAATAGACACATGTAAATTTGCCATATGCTGAAATTTATACATAGCACAAATACTACTTTCCCACATGTAATTTTTGTCTCAAATTTTCTTCCTGAAAAACACTTCTCGGTAGGAAATAGGAGGCATATTGGGTTGGATTTAAGGTACCAAAATAGGAAGGACTTTTAGGATCATTTTGTTGCTTTGCTCTTTCCAAAGTAAATTGTTCTCCCATCCAATGCTCTTTATTTGATCTAGAGCAGTGGCTCCCAGTCTGGGGAGCAGGTACTGGGAGGGGGGGCAGAGTAGTAACTCTGCAAGGGGTCCACAAATCCACATGACCACTAAGGATTGTCATTTTGATACTTTTGTCACTGTGTATTTTCTCCGTCAGTGGATAGTAACAGTACAACCACTATCATAGAGGAGAGGAATTTTTTTATGTTAAAAAGAGGCCCTCATGGTTGGGAAGCACAGATCTAGAGATGGCATTAATCATTTATAATCAGAAAACGTACATAAAAGGCCACGTCTTTGTATGCCATATTTATTATTCTACAGTAATTGTGGCCCACTTTCATGCTCATATAAGAATTTATTGAGACAATGAACACATTGCAATAGTAAAAAGCTTTCAGGAATAACTAAGATGTATTAAGCCTTGAATACGTGTTCATCATCCTCTTTATTAGATGGTCAATAGACCTTTCAATAATGCAGCCATTAAAACAAATTATAGGTGGTCATAATCTTGATCCAAGAGGTGTAGAAATTCTCATGCTAAACTTTGAGGCTGCTTTCTTATAGCTCTGGCAAGATGGTGGCCTTTGCAGAGGCAACTTAAGGACATGTATAAGTGCTCCAAGTGCACATACCTTTCAGGTTTTCTGTGTCTATGTCTTCCTCCTTGGCTGGTGCCCCTTGTTGTCCCCTTAGCCATAACAAGTATATCACAAACAGCAGGAAAGACTTCATGTTTTCTGTATTAAGAATCATTACAATACATTAGTTTCTGAGTTAGTTTTCAGGTTACCTTAGATACTATTCCCCTGCAATGATTAATAAACAAATATGATGCATGTAGTATATTTTAAGAATAATTTTATCCTAGCATCAATACACAGTTTTTTGATAAAGCAATAGCCTGATTTAAAGATTTTGTGTGTGTTGTTTATAAATGTTGAAGCTAGATATTCCTAGAAGAGAACTGCTCAGGATTCACAAATTTGTATTTCAAGTCAGAACTTATTTTCATAATATATATTACATTTGAATTAAAACTGTTTCCATTTTCTTGTTGTCCCATAACTATAAAAGTTCAAAGTCACAGAAGGTGTCTTAATTTTTATGTGCAATTGAATTCTCCTCCTCAAGATAAATATCTTATTAACTCACCTTAAAACAAGCAATCCTTTCAATCCTGTTTCCACTGCTTCCAAAATGACACTGTAAGGGTATGAAATGACAATCAATAAAAGCACATCAAAGCATAATGCACCTCCAACTGAATTTAATGAGACTCTATTGTATATAAAGATTCAACAAGGCACAAGTCATCACATTCAGTCCCAGAAATTCTAGTTGGAGAAATTTAAGCACATACTTGATTTTTCACTGAAATCAGTGGGAGTTTGCAATTCTTAACTTTGGCTGAATCATGCCCTTTTTCTTTAGCTTCCCTTTCATATGCATTCATACTGTGTGCAACATTTTATTTTTTTGAAAAACATTATCCCATAGGTCTCAGTTTACTCAAGGAAATACTATGATCTTGTTTTAGTTTCCTTTTTTAGAAGGTAAATCACTTTCAAAATATTGGTAATAATATCAGTTAGAAGTCTACAAATAAAAGCAGAGATATAGGTAGTGAATTTATATTTATAAAGTCAATAGTATCAGGTGGCCAGCAAATATCATGAGAGAAAGTACTATTTAATAGAAGAATTCCCAAGAGACCATATTTACCACTAATGCAGACGTTTCCTCTTGCAAACCTGTTTCCAGCTTCAGGAAAGAACGAGGCTATGTGTTGTTCTAATTTCCAGGAGTGTCGTGGATTTTGCCATGTACATCTTATCTGATGACAAGGTACTTAATCCTATTAATGGGACATTTTGTGATTAGACTCTAGGATTTCCTTCCCTCTTTTTCAGACTAGTCTGAGCTCATATCCAAAAATAAACACTAGAGGGAGCATAAGACACAACTGGAAAAATATGTTTGCTGTTTTCATGCACTGAATGTGCTTGTCGGGGGTTTGTTGGATTCTTGTCTTTTTAAGCTATTAGGTTGCAATCAGTGTTCCCTCTAAGCTGAGTTAGTGTGAGCTAGCTCACAGTTTTTTAGCCTCCGGCTCACACATTTTTGTCTTAGCTCAGGAAAGATGGCTCCAGAGCAAACTAATTTATGCAGTAGCCAAATCGCTCGCTCACAACTCTAATGCCAGTAGCTCACAAAGTAGAATTTTTGCTCACAAGACTCCATAGCTTAGAGGGAGCATTGGTTGCAATTAATTCCTTTTAGACCCTCTGAAATTAATTTGTTGACATAGATAGATGACAGACAGACAGACAGACATTAGCAATGTATATTTCATAACACTTTGCATAATTTAATGGTATCCTTGTATACAATACAAGTCTTTGAAATGGCAGTGTATGATTTTGCTGTGGATCTTGTCTCTTTACATATTTATAGCTTTCACAGGTGATGATGCAAACATCTTGGCTAGGGAAGCTATTGTAGTGAAAATGCAAGAACATTTCTAGTTATCCTCGCAGTCCCCTTACACATGTGTAAAGCTGCTAGATTCAAGCCCAGAAACACCTTAGAGACCAACAAGATTTTTAGGGTATAAGCTTTTGGGAATCAAAGCTCTTGCTGTCCCAACATGACTACCCTCTGAAACAATCTATGTGTGTAAAGGTTACCTTGGGCTATAACAATAAGTCCCTTAGGGTTGCCAGCATCCAGGTGCGGCCTGGGGATCTCCTGCTTTTACAACTGATCTCCAGCTGACAGAGATCAGCTCCCCTGGAGAAAATGGCTGCTTTGAAGGGTGGCCTGGCCTCTATGGCATTGTACCATGCTGAGGGCCCCCCCCAAACCCCGCCCTCTCCTGGATCCACCCCCAAAGTCTCCAGGTATTTTCCAACCCAGACCTGGCAACCCTAGAGTCCCTACTCCACACACAGCAAAGGATTTTTGCTTTCATTTTTGTTCTTGCAGTAGGAAAATGTAAATTATGGCTGTCAATAAAAACAGAATGGTGGGGCTACTGTGTGAAAATGAAATAGAAATAAACGCAACCCCGACTATGTGAGGTAGGAACTAACTGGATTGTTGTGGGAGTGGAGTGGAGTGGAAGGCAGTCCCTGCGCTCCTCCTTCTGCTCATGCTCTCTGGGGGAACCATCTGGAACCTGGACAATGTCATCAACTACTGGAAGGCAGAAGAGACTGCTGTACATACATTCATGTAGCCCTACTATCTCATAATATTTACTGTTGCTCATCCTGAATCTTCTGCCCATCAGCTTCATTGGATGCTCTCAGGTTCTAGTATATCCCCCTTAGTCGTTTCTTTTCTAAACAGAAAAGTCCCAGACTCTTCAGCCTTTCCTCATAGGGAAGGTGCTCCAACCCCCTAATCATCTTGGTTGCTCTCCTCTGTACCTTTTCCAGCTCTGCAGTGCCCTTTTTGAGATACAGTGACCAGAACTGTACACAGTATTCCAAATGAGGCTGCACCATAGAACTATACAATATCAGCCATTTTATTCTCAATCCCTTTCCTAATAATACCTTACACAGAGTTTGCCTTTTTCACAGCTGTACCACACCTGGTTGACACTTTCATTGAGCTTCCACTATGACCCCAAGATCTTTTTCCATCTCACTCTCAGCACATTTAGCCTATATTTAAAGTTGGGACTTTTTGTCCCAATGTGCATCACCTTACACTTACCAACACAGACCTTCATTTGCCACATTGTCACCCACTTACCCAGTTTGCGGAGCTCCTCTTGGAGCTCTTTGCAGTCAGCCTTGGTTTTTACCATCCTGATTAATTTTGTGTCATCTGCAAACTTGGCCAGTACGCTATTCACCCCTAGTTCCAGATCATTTATGAATACATTAAATAGTACCGGCCCCAATACTAGTTCTACCATAGAGTTTTTGCCCAAAAAACAGAGTGTTACTCAACATCCTCAACGTGCCTGCGTCACTTCCAGATCATGTTGGAAGTCACGTCAGGGACGTCGCTGAAACGTCAGCTGAGACTCCATGATCCCAGTAAGCCCACTCCCCCTCCCCCGCTAGCTGCTTGGAGGGACCTGCAACCGTAGTAACCAGCATAATTCTCTTAAAACTTGGTGAGTTATGTTCCATACAGTTTATGCCAGCTACCAATCTCACTGCGTCATATTAAAGGAATAGTCACAGCTGTCATACTAATCAGTGTTGTTGAAAGGAGCTACATGCCACCACCAAGGAGATCTCCGCCTCCATCTGTACACACAAACAAGTAGTCTTCATAGTTTAGCATGATGAAATGGAACCCTTAGTCTCTGATTAGCTCCACAGATGAACTGCTGTCACTTTTTGTGGTAGTAATGCAGCTCCCATAATGTCTGCTTCCCACCTTAGCCACTGCACTACACCAGCTTACGTCAGAACAAGGGGCAGGAAAGTGTGAACATATAGAGGTGATGAGATGGTGGGCAAGTGACAGAAAACCACCAGAGGAGGGGGTGGAATGTAACAGTGATAGCATACAGCCCTGTGTATTTTGACGTCTTAGTTATTCGTATGAGTGCCATTTTTCCTGGCAAGTCTCATCAAAATGCTTCCAAATCTGTTGGCCTTGGTGCCCATTGCTGCTGCTTCTCATTGCCATCCAGTCAGGCCTTGACACACCGTATTTCTAAACGTTCTTGTGCATTCAGGAAAATGGCTAACACAATGAAACAAACATGGTAGTGCCAGTCTCCATGCTTGAAGGTTTTTTTAAAAAAAAATCTGAGGTTGCCAGGAATGAGACATCGCTTACGGCAATGTTTGAAAAAGAGCTACCCAACTATTAATCCTGTCACCATATCCCCATTGCTAGCCTTGCCCACTGTCATGTTAAAATTCAGAACAGATTGCACTTTAGGGCTCTCTTGCATGTCCCCATATGTTTCTTATAAATGGCAATTAGAAGGATATTGGGGAAAGGATGGCATGAATCTGAATCTCACTTTCACTGGCTAGGATTCATTCCCCCGTGTAATTCACCACTTTGCTTTGAGTCACACTGCCCTCAAAAGCAGTGAAGCAAGAGCCAATCTGTATCATTTTACATATTACAGAAGACTTGTTATTATTATATCCATATTTCCTTTTAACGTGTGAGCTGCTCTACAATATATCTCTCATATGTCCTCATGACATTCCCATAAGTAAATCACCATTGTTGCCATTGTAACTGCATTCTTTTGCTGCATAAGCTAATTTGCTAGGAATGTTTGGTGTGTGGCAGATCCTGCCTCACATTGGACTAAGCAGATAACCTTCAAGCCCTCTCCAGTTCCCCAGTATCATGGGTCTTAAGGTCACAGGGTTGGATCCAGACACCTTTCACTCAATCTCACTTTATTCGCCTCCTTACTACATCCCCCATCCCACATGGCTGTTGCCTTTGTCCCATGGTTCCCCCAACATTGCCTTTTTGGTGATGTCAAAGGGGACCCTCTCCTCCCCTTTCTAACAGTAGAAAAACTGGTTGGATTCAATCTGTAATGTTTTGTGGTAGTCCAGCATTTGTCCATTTATCTTTCAGTAGCTGATTTAAGAAGAGCATAGGGATGTTATGTATGGGGTGTCATTATTTACCTCCATGCCGTGAAAAGCTCCAGCTGCCCATTTAACCCTCCATTAAAAGGAAAGGGGATTTTCTCCAGGTCTGTTGGCAACCCTAGTGAGCTGCATCTGGAAACT